CGTGCACATGTGCCTTATTCCTTTTTAACTGCTGCATGGTATTCCATAGTTTTCTTTTCCAACTATTCCATCAACATTTCACCTTTATCCTCTTCCCCTTTTGTCTCTACTTCCCATGATGTCATGTCACGGAATTTTGCTTGCCTTATTCTCCACGCCTCTCTCCTTCCCTCCCTCTCTGCCTTTCTCTTTTTCTCCTTCCCTTGCAGCCATCCATCTGTGGATCCATTCAGTAGACATGCTAGCCCTGCAGATGCCTGATGAATGGGCAGAGTCCTGAGGCCTTGCCCCCATCCAGCGGGAAGCCAGGGAAGGAGCACGTCGCAGTCCTTCCCTGGAAACAGGTGCTCCCACAGTTTTTAAAGAAGCTGCTTCTGGTCTTCTGGAATGTAAGAATCTCTGAGGCAGAAGCTGATCTTTCAAAGAAGTCGTCAGCCTTTGGACCAATATTACCGTTGTCTGCTTCTTGGGACCTTCTAGGACCATCATCAGCTGCTCTCTCACCCCTTTCTCTAGTTGCTAGAGGCTGTGACCTGAGCAGAAGAATACATGGCGGGCTCTGGAGTGGCCACATGGAGGGGCGAGGTGCTGTCAGGGCCTGGGTGGGTGGCTTTCTCTCCTGGGATGCGGAGCAGAACCATGAACCAAGTGGCCAGTCGCATGTCGGTCTGTGATGGATACAGAGCCTCAGGTCCTCTGTCTTTGAGGAAATTAAGTAAACATGAATAAAAACGGAGAGAAGGTGGTGTGTGTATCAGAGACAAATGCAGAGAGAAAGGAGAGCTTGCAGTCAATGTGCCTTTGTTTCCCAAATGGGTTTAAAATGTGCATTTTGGGCCAAGAGCTCTGTCTATGCTGGCTTTTCAGCCTCCATACTTTTTGCTCCCTTTCTTGGGGTGTCTTGATGGTGATCTCAGTGACATTACCTGTCAGCAAATGGAACCCTGGAAATGGAGGAATTAGTGGCCTGCGGTTCGCAGGTTGGGCCTCAGAGCCAAAGCTGCAGTCACCCTTGAGCAAGTCATTTAAACTGTGCGTGTCTCGGTTTTGTCCTGTGTAAATGGGGAGAGTATCGCTGTCCTCATGCTAGGGACGTTGGAGAGGGTACAGTGGACCACTCCCTGTGAAACCCCTACTGTAACCCTGACCCTGCCTGCTACATAGTGTACAGTAAGTATCACACATGCGTACACGTGTGCATACTCTCTCTCCACACACACACACACACACATGGCTCAAACGTCTCCTTATTGGAACGGCGTGTCCTGCCTACTCTACAACAGTACCCACCTCATGTGCCCCTCCCTCCCCATTCTTTCTTTACCCAAGTGTCTGGTACTCACCACCATCCAACCCCCTTGTTTTTTTGTTGACCCTCTGCCACCCCCACCCGTCTTGAGCCCACAAATTCAGAGATCTCTGCTAATTTAGTTTAATGCTTTATTCCTTGGAGTAAGTACCTGAGAAATATTTGTTGAATGGATGAGTCTCTATTTTAGAGATGACCAGACGCAGACACAGAGAAGGAACATAACTTTCTCAGGATCACCCAGCTACTACCAGCTGGTGAATCGGGACCCAGGGGCTATCTTCTCATTTAAACCATTGATGCCGCTCCGCTGGTAAAAAACAAACAAACAAACAAACAAAACTAAGCACAGTGTCTGGAATACAGTGAGAACTCAGTCAATGTTAAATAAAAGTAATAATGATATGAATCCTACAACTGCCCCCTGCCTGGGGACCCCAGCTGGGGTGCACTCTTGCCTTTCTGAGTAATACTCATGGGGTACCAATGACTGCTGGTTCTCCAAGGGGGCACGCACACGGTCTGCAGAGGCCTAGGTGCGGCCCCCAGACCTGTGGGCAGTTGCTGAAACTGAATTAGAAGGAATTCACGCCCCTTCCTAGGGAGTCCCAGTCTGAGGGAGGGAACGGGGCCTGTAGCAGACAACCAGTTCCCTGGTAGCGCCCATTTCTAAATACAGTGAGAGCTTCTGAAGGCATGTGTTTCTCTCCAGATTATTCTTTCATTTACTGTTTGTCTCCACCAAGCCTTAGTGGGGCTGCAGGGATCTTGAGGGGTGGAAAATGTCTCCATATCTGGACCTCATCCCAGTTGTCCTCTGGTAGGCTTTACTGTACCACTTTTCAGATGGGGAAACTGAGGTTCGGGGAGATGTGAATACTAGGACTGAGCTTCAGGACCACGCCTGCTGGGTCCCACACTAACCACATGCAGCTCTTCCGGACTCTCTTGGATTTGGAATTGGATTCGTAAGCATTTATTGAGCAGTAAGCAGAGGCTGGGCACTGTGCCTAATTTTGTTTCTTGTTTGTAATGGTTTTTAAGCCATTTTCTCCAAATAATGAGGTCCCTGGGTCAGGACACTTTGTCTCATTACCTTGTGGCGCTCTGGATCATAGCAGCAAGCTGCTGGGAAGGAGCACTGGGGCTGCAAGAGCACCGCTCTGGGTTCAAATAAAAGCCCAGCCTCGTAGTTGTGTGATTTGTGTCTAGTAATCAGCCTCTCGGAGCCTATTTCCGTATCTGTAAATGGAGTGAGGACCCTTGTTTTGAGAGGACCCTGAGGATCTGTGACGTTAAATATAAAATATGAAGCATGCTTCTCGGTACACAGTTGAACATCCACGAGTGGTGGCTATTTTATTATTATTGTTGTTGTAAAATTTTAACACATGGTGTTGTACCTGAGTATTCCTTCTTTGTTTGCCTTACTCATCTTTGTCCCTCCTGAGGGGAAAGACAGAGCCTTATTCATCGCAGCATCCCCACCTTCTAACACAATTTTTGGTATGTGGCCAATGTATGCGTATTGTAGGGCACCTGGGTGCATAAACAAACACACGGGCTAGTGGCTTGCCGGGGCCATTGTGGCCCATTGTTGGGGACGCTTTTCCTAGAGTCTTATCCCCTCTTGTCAGATTCAGGCCAGGACAACGGTATGGTTGTTCCATTGTTCCCAGATAACATTTCCTATCTTAACGTCCCCAGGGGCCGCCCTCAGCCCCGCCCTGCCCTCCTGTCCTATCACCGGCCCCCACCTGGACCCTGGCAGGCTCCAGTCCAGCTTGCCGCAAGGAAAGCTTTCCTCTGGTAGTCGTGCCCTGTCTCCTCCCCACCCTCAGGTACAGCAGTTGTGCAGAGGAGCTTTTCTCCCTCTGGAACTTGTCTTGTTCCAGTCAGGACCTAGCAAATGTTAAATAAAAATGCTTCATATTAGCCTGACCCTTCACAGTGTGCATGACCTACATCTTCCTGCTCGCGCCTCACAAGCACGTTGTCTGATTGGTAAGTAGGTTCTTCCCCCAGGCTACTGTTGAAGCACACAAGGGAAGAGCCTGCTAGTAACAGAGCTGGTTACTGAGAAAACCTAGACCGTTACCAGCTCTGCACACAACCAGTGCTTTTTGCAATACAGGTCCTTGGTATTCTATACCCTTCTCTGTTTCCAGAAGAGCTCTGAGGGGTGTGTCATAATTTTAATGATCCAGGACACTTTCAAGCCTGTAACTCAGTGTAGTGTCCCTGTAAGGTGGAAGGTGTCTGAGCATCATCAGACTCGCCGTGTGGGTGAGGAAATGGAAGTCCGCAGAGCTGAGTGGCTTCTGGAGATTGCCCAGCTTGACGGGGCAGCATGTTGTCTTCTGCCATCTTTCCCTTTCCTGTTGGATTTAGCTCACAAATCAGTTGCTTCCAAAACAGCTGGACCCACCTGAGGAATTTAAAAATTTTGCTGCCAGGATCTTACCTCTGAAAGATTCTGATAGTGGGACCTGGGCATTGGGGTTATAAGACCTCGCCTGGTGACTCTACAGTGAATAGCACCGAGAAACACTGTCTTAGATCTCATCACCCCTTCCACAGGGATAGGTACTGGCAGGTTAATGAGAAGCTAGCAATTCCCTAAATTCTATTTCAGACAGTAGTTCCTGCTTATATTTACTCAGATTCATGGTAGCTCTTGTTTCAGAAGAATTGGCAGTGCTGAAAGAGGCAGCTGAGGGGCAAGAGAGCTGAGAGCCCTCCACAAAGCTATTGTGTGTTGTTCCCCTTTGTGTGCTGGGCACTTTTTTAAGGACCTTATATATATTAACTCATCTAATTCATAGTCCACACACTAGCACTAAGAGGCTTCTGCTCATATTATCCCCATTTCACAGATAAGAAAGCTGTCCGTATAATAAATAGGTAATTTGCCCAAGCTGATAGGAACAGAGCTGCAATTGGAAGACAGATTGCTGGCTCTGCAGGCTAGTGTTTTGATCACTGTGGCTGTTGCTTTGCAGGATGATCTGGGAACCATGGCATACTGGGTCCTACGTAGCTGCGAATTTGCTGTCACCACTTGATCCTCCATGATGATGCTGAAGCATAGATGTAATATGTCTCAACTGCATAAAAGCCTCTCTGACTCCACATTGCATCTATAAGTGGAAGCCAAACTCCGTAGCATAGCATATGAGGTCTATCCTTTACAGCCTGACCACTGGCAGGCCATTCTTTCATAACTCTCTGTTACTCATAATGTTAATACATCTGAAAGTCTCCCCTTTCTTTGCCTGATGAACTCTTATTCTTCAATACCTAGCTCAAATATCTTCTTTTCTAACTTCCACAAGAAAAGTCAGGGATGCTTCCTCTTTGCTCCCAATATTTGGTCCCTCTATCTATAACCACATGGATCACAGCCTCTCTCTCAGTGTCCTCCAGTGGGTGAAGATTTCCTTGAAGATGGGGCTCTGCATTACTCATTTTAGTTTCTCCGTCCTCAGCATCCGCCATGGTGTCTTAAGTGGATGCCAACCTCTTATATGTAGGATGACCTCCTTCACCTTAGGTTCTACTTTGTTTCAGCCAGGAAGATATGTTTTCTTTATCTTCCGACCATGAGCAGATTTTCTGTTTGTAATGGTTGCTTTCCTTCAAGGTGCTTGAGGTTCCAATGGCATAACTGACATTTACTGTGTTTTCCTAGGTTGGCCTGGATTTTACAGGAGTCCTGAGCTCCTTTGGAGATGTGCCTCTCTCCAGCACTGAGCTATCTGCATTCTTGAACATCTCAGGGCCCAGAAGAAAAAGAAGAAAGCTGATCAGCTCTTCAGAATGGCCTGAATCAGAGGTTGGTGTCTTGATTAGTGGTCAGCATGTTTCCTGAACTCAGCCACCATGAGCCAAAGGAGGCAAGCACAGGAGGAGTGGTATCTCGGTGACCAGAAGGGCAACAGTTGCTCACCAAGGAGTAGTAAGGCTCTTTTAGGAGAGTCTACCACCGTCCGAGGAGGGTGGGCCCCTGGGGAGCCCCCAGCTTGTCAAGACACAGTGTTGAGACTTTACTGCCGCTATAGTGAAGAGGACTGGAAAAGTTGAGTTTAAAGATACGAAATTCTAAGAATTTATCCTACAGGAATACATGCATAGGTGCAGATGATGTGAATAGGATTATCATCTCAATATTGTTTGAAATAGCAAACAATGAGACAGTTTACTTATTTACCTACTTACATATTAACATACAATGCCTTTTTTTTTAAAATCAGATTTCTGGTTATATCAAGAGACAGGAGAGTGTGACCCAGGGCTAAACTCATATTTGTGTGATAAGGCAATTTTTAAGAAAATTATTATTATTAAACAGACTTTATTTTTGGGGGCAGTTTTAGGTTCACAGGAACAACTGAGTGGAAAGTACAGAGTTCCCATTTGCCTGCTTACCCCATGTGTGCATGGCCTACCTCACTATCCATATCCTGAGCCAGGGTAGTATGTGTTTCACAATGGACAAATCTACACTAGCAGGTCATTAGCACATAGTTTACATTAGGATTCATTGTTGGTGTTACATATTTTATGACAAATGTATAATGACATAATCCACCACTGTTGCATCATATGGAATAGTTACACTGCCCTAAAAATCCTCTCTGCCCCACCTATTTATTTCTCCTGATGAGACACAATTCAAATGCTTCTTGTTGGAGACTGGTTGACTAAATCATCATACATCCACAAAATGGAATAGTATACAGCTGTTAACAAGAATTTGTGGCTTTATGAAGTAATATGAACAATCCTGAAGCTATGTTAACTTGGAGAAAGCAATGTTGATCTTAATGGTGATTTAAAATAGAAGGATGTAGAACAGTGTAAAGAGTGTGCCAACAGCTACACTAACACACAGCCCCCTCTTCCAGATCAGTTACCTATTCTCACTGTGTCCACACTCAGCACATACTGTCGTTCCTGTCTCTTTACAGACCTGTAAGTCCCAGGAGACAGACTGCCCATGGAGCACGACCTGTCTGTCCCTCTGTAGCTGTAGCAATATTGCCTGGGCCAAGCACATGTTCCATCAGTTTCTGCAATGCATGAATGAATGAACAGAGTGGGGTTTTCTTTCCACAGTTTCCTTGTGCCTGCTATGCCTCAAACATGTGAGCCTGGGATAGAAGCCCCAGAAGTTGTTTCTCCTTCTTCTGGGTACCGTCCTCAGCGTCCCTGCCCCTCTCTTGATTTTCTGTGCTCTGCAAGGCTTCCCCATTATTCCCCAGGTTACAGAGACACAGGAGATGGGGAGAGGCTTGAAATGGGCCTTTGAGGTGACATTGCCAATTACACTGGGCAGATCTGACTGAACTGCTTCATTTAGTTGTAGGAGCAAAGCTACCCAGCTGCTGGGATCAGCTGATGCATCAGACCTGATAGGTTTGAGCCTGCACTCCAGCGTGGCTGCCTGTGTGACCTTGGCCATGTCACTTAACCTTGCTGAATCTTGATTTCCTGATCTGTAAAGGGAGGCTAGAAATACTTCTCCTGAGGTCTTCGTGAAGATTAACTGTGATCACATAAGTGAAAGTGCCCTTTGAGGAAAGACGAAGGTGAAAGTGCTTACTGTGTAGGGAGAAAAGTGAGGAGCCCCCACCCCCACCACCCACCACCCACTCTTGTTGTCAGGTGCCTCATCCTTCCTGGGGAGAAATCCTGACTCCAAGGCAGATAGCATATAATTTGCCTCTTCCTCCTTTATTCAGTGCACTTCTCTCAGCCGCCCAGGGCTTTCAGCTTAAGCAAATAAATTATGCTGCTCCACCGGGCTCTGTGTTCTGTAGCCAGCCATATGTTTGAGCTTGATAGAGATTCTTATCAGGCGGGTAATACTACCCAGCAAGGGATGACATTTCTTATCAGGGCCCTGCGGAATCAGAGATAGGAGTCCTTTCTTTTTACCAGCAGCAGGGCTGGCCCGGGGGGGATAGGGGGTGGGCCAGGACCTGGGCGTGGGCAGCTTGGGCTGCAGTGGGCATCAGCTGGCCCTCATCCCTGAAGGCAGCTGCTCCCTATAGCCTGCCTTGCCATTGGAAATAGGCCACATGGAGATTTTTGCATATGATAGAGATGGGGCAGGGCAGGGCAGGAATCAGGAAGGAAGGAGGGAACATGATGGCGCTGGACTGGCTCCGGGTGGAGGCAGAGAGCTTGCGTGTGAGGAGCTGGGCCCTTGCACAGGGAGGTGTGTGGCCTCCTGCTGCAGGGCGAAGGCCTGGGGCAGCTGCCCTGTGGCTATGCAGAACAGAGGCAGCTGAGACCCAGATGTCCACCAAGGTCTTGGCTGTGGGGGTGGTGAGGTGCTGTGCAACCTCCATACTCCTCCAGATGCCCCCTGTCCGTCCCCACCCTCTTCAGTGTTCAGGAGGCCGACCTGTGTGGATTCAACAGGATGGATGCCATGCGGGGCTCCTCTTTGGGACGCACTGGCAGGATGTGCAGGCAGGGAGGGTGGGAGTCAGGGTATTTGTCCTTCTGCTTCCTCCCTGCTGGGTCCCAGATTTTGATACAGGCAAAGGTCTACACAGAGGGCCCTGCATTTGAATTCTGACTCTGGCTCACACTCGTTGTTCACTAGGCAAGTTGTTTAATGTCTCCTCGCCTTGGTTTCCTCATCTGTAGTGTGGGGGTGACACCACTTTCCTTGCTGTCTCTCACCACTTGCCTTTGGATCTCATTGATTTCTGTGCCTCTCTTTTGCCTCGACAATTGGCAGAAGGGACACTGTGGTGTGTGGGTCTGAGGCCCTGAACCCAGAGCTCACTGCAGGCAGGGAGGTCAGGGTTGACCACATGATTTGGAAACTGCAACCTCTGTTGAGGACACAGGCCCAGGGCTCTTCCCTTATTGATTTTTGGGTAGTCTGCCCTGTCCAGCTCTGTTCTCAAGTAATAATCTTGCTATCATCAGAAGGGGAAGGAGAAGTGGCTTCTCCTTCTCCCTGGACCCCCTCCAGCCAGCAGTCCTGCCTTCGCTTCTTTCCTTTGGCCCCACTTCTTGTTTCCCTCCATCTCTCCCTGACTCTCCAGGCCCAGCCTCAGGGTGGGTGTGCTGAGTTTTCCTGTCTCTTCCCTCTCCTCCTGATGGCCAGATCCAAATCCTAAAAGCATAGCTCTGGCCATGTCCCTCTCAGCTCAAAAACAGACCTCTTAGCATGACCTTTAAGGCCCGCAGTGGCGTCACCCCACCCTGTGATTCTGTCCTGGTCACCTTGGTAACAATACCTCTTGTGTGGGGCAAGCTCATCCCTGTCTTTTGAACCTAGCACTGTCTTACTTTGACTTTCATGCTTAGGCCCTGTCATTTCTCCTCCTGGGCTCTGACCACAGACAGGCCTGGGTTCAACGCCAGTGCCACCAGCTGCTGCCTCTGTGACCTTTATCGCTTTCCCACTTGGAGCCTCCATGCCCTCACCTGTGACATGGGCCGCTTGCTCCTGAGCCTGGGTTCTGGTGAGAAGACCCCATTTAAAAGGCTCATGCTGGGGCTTGGCTCTTGGCAGGTATTCAATGAGTGCACCTCCCTTCCCTCTAACTGTCCGTCCCTCTGTCTATCCAGATCCCACCTGTACTCAAATTCTACCCCATCATTTGCTTTCCCTCTGGAGTCTCCCGCCTGGGAGTCATTTCCTCTGAAAGACTCTGAGTGCCTCGTGTCTGGACAGCAGAAATGGATCGTGTCTCTTTCTGTTGATGTCTGACTCCCCGGCAGGAGGTAGATTCCCTTAGGGCATCCGCTGTGGTGTATGGGTCTCAGCTTGGCCAATGATTTGGCGATTAAGAAATTGACTCCGAGGGAATGGAGGAGTCATTTGTTCTTCCACTGAACCGCATTTGATGGGGTGCACGTGATATATTAGGTCTGTACTTGGCGCCGGAGGTCCAGGGAATATGAGATGGAAACCGTCCTTCTGGAGCCCATCCTCCAGCAAGAACATTGCCCGTCTGAGACTCTGTGCCAAACCTGGACAGCAGACCTGAAAAGGCACGGGCCCCATGGGTAGCTTGGAACCGGGCGTGGGTTGGTGGGTGTGGGCAGAGTTCTATGCCCAAGGAGAGGATGGCTCCCTTCAGATGGATGCCCCCTTCTGTGCAGATGGGAGGGTTGGCTTGTCAAGTTGTAGAATGTCCAGTATGCAACAGCCTCCTGCCCCAGCTGCCCTTCGTGCCAACAGGGGTCAGCTCAGGTCACAAACACCATTCAGTGTGGACCTGCACAAGGCCTCTTATTTAAATAAAATCCCCCAAGGGAGATGTTCTGGAGAGTTCCAAACTGGCTGGTCATGACGGTGCCTTGAGCACTCATGGCAGCTTGTCCCTGGCCAGAACAGAGATGAGACAGTGAGAGCCACTTGCTGACCAGCCTGGTCTGCTTGTGGTTTCTCTTCTCATGAGCCTTGGGCATCCCTCCACTACCAACATCCTTACAAAGTCACCCTTGCCTCCCACCTAGATCACGGCAATGGCTTCCATATTGGACCCCCTGGACCCAGTCTCATGTCTCTCCAATCCTTTGTCCACCCAGCAGCCCGCATGATGTTTCTGAGATGTGAATCAAATCAAATTGTGTCTGCCCCCCAAATATCCCCAGGATTCCTGTTCCTGCTCTTGGGTAGAGCAGAATCCCCCCGAGAGCTCTGTGTGAACTGTCCCTGCCGTCCCTCCTCCCTCCTCCTCACTCGGGGATTCAGGCATGGACATCGTCGGGTGGTCATTGTTCTGCACGTCAGGCCTTTAGAACCCGGCCTTGTACCTACTAAGGACCGTATACCTATTGGTGTTATTGTCAGCCTCAGCA